AAAAAGTGAGAAGCCCCCCCCCCCCCCCACCCCAGAGGGGATGGCCACACCGCAATCCCTTCTCTTCCATTCTCCTCTCAGAATTTGGGCACGCACACACACGCACCCGGTGTGAGTTTAGTCACAGGGTCTGAAGTCTGCTTCTCTGCCAGCTGTTATTAGGGCAGACACTGACCCTTCCCTGATAGGACACTCCAATCATGCTGAAACTGTCCCTCCCCAATTTGCCATAAAAGACTGTGTCCAACTCTCAGTTGGGGCCAGAGATCCAGAGAATTAACTGCTCCATTCCCACCGACGTAATAAAGAGTTCTCCTTTCTCTCCTGAGTGCTGCTTTTCGTTCCTCAGCATCTGTTTTTCTGCAACATTTTGATGCATTGGCCGGGAAGTGAAATCAGACTGACCCTTTGAGCCACCGATCCCAGGGCATTTCCCCCGCAGGATGGCAGGATGGGCACTATGGTGTGGAGATGGTTATGCGTCGTCCACCCGCCCTCCCCTCCCATCTTCTTTTCATTCCCACCGACGTAATAAAGAGTTCTCCTTTCTCTCCTGAGTGCTGCTTTTCGTTCCTCAGCATCTGTTTTTCTGCAACATTTTGATGCATTGGCCGGGAAGTGAAATCAGACTGACCCTTTGAGCCACCGATCCCAGGGCATTTCCCCCGCAGGATGGCAGGATGGGCACTATGGTGTGGAGATGGTTATGCGTCGTCCACCCGCCCTCCCCTCCCATCTTCTTTGACGGGATCCCTTAGCTGGGATGCCCGCCCTGAGGCTGAGTGTTCCTGGAGCATCGGACTCCAACTGGAGAGAAGGGCCAACTCCTGGACACTGATGCATCAACTGTGGTAGTTGGTAAGCATCAAATCTGGTAGTCTGGTAAGCCCCCAAGGATCTGTAGAGCCCTAGTCAGACAGACCTACTCAGATTGAGTAGAAATGGAGACCCGATCACTCTTCTTGTGTCGCAGGACCATCAGATAGGGCTCATCTGGTAATTGGCTGATGCGAGGAGGGAATGTATAACCTCTGAATGAATATGTCTGTGATGAGTAACTGTTTGTGGCCCCCCAGCATCACGCTACAGGGCATAATTGGGTCTGTTCTCTGCAGTTCTGTGGTGTTTCTGGAAAGGTTAAATGGCAGTATTGTACACTGGGGGACCCAGTACCTCCCTGTGCATTCAATCTGGCAGAGGTCCTATATCTGATCGCCTATTGCTAAGGAACTATACAAAGCCCGTGAGGGACATGGCCAGACAGACGCCTGATTGGTCCCCTCTGGGGGGACACCCACCCTTTGTCTGTTACAAGGGGAGGGAGGATGGGGGAAGGGACACAGAGGCTGATGGGAGGGCTTTCCCTGTAGAGGTGGATAGGCAGAATAATGTATGTCAGGTCCTCAATTTTGTCCCCAGAAGTTGGGACACCAATTTCTACCGACTGAGATAAATTTATAGATAGGTTGCAAAAATATGTGCAAAGGCAGGTAGAGAATGTAGATGAAGATGAGGAGAAGCAACTGTCCTTTGAAAATGCTAATGTGGATTGTCAAAAAGTGTTAAAGAAAATTTAGTCTGTGGTGACCTTGTAATTCAATCCCCATAGCAATTTAGCAAATCTTAATGACCTTATAGACCCTACAACAGCCTAACAACTCTGTGTAGGGCTGACAGAAACTGAGTTAACCCTTTCTCATCCCTAGGGTGCTCAGGACATTTTGTTCAGGCCAGTTGCTTTGGGGTTTCTGTTTCTGCCTTCTATAGGTTTTTCAAATGATTAAAATCTTAAACTGTTATCGATAAGAATGTTTTGTTGGGACCAGCAGTTGGCATAATGGCTATGTTGCTGGACTTCCATGTAGTTGACCACAGTTCAAGTCCTGGACCCAGTGGCTTAAACTCACGCCAGGGGCATGTGCGTCCATGCCCAAGAGGAGAATGGAAGAAAAGGGATTGTGGTATGGCCATCCTCCCTGGGGAGTGATTTCTCACTTTCTCTTCCTCTGTCTCTTTCTGTTTGGGGAGCTTCCCCGTCCTATAGCAAAAACCTCTCCAAAAAAAAAAAGATGTTTTGTTCTATTTTGGAAAATTTGTTGAACAGTTTTTGTTTGTTTGTAAAATATGCATCAACATATAAAACAAACTTTCACAATTTAGGTAAAACAAAAAATGGGGGGAACTGAGCCCCTCCCCTCTATATGTGCTGCCAAATTACTCTACTAAACATGTTCAAATTAAATAATTAATATTTGATTGTGACTCAAAATTGCATCAACAGAGCACTGCCTGGCAGCATTTAACATCTACTCAAAAGCTTCCTCCAACCAGTGA